CTGTCCCCAGGGGCAGAAATGTTACTTGAGCTGTAGACAACAAACCCTGTTTTCCAGTGGGAGTGAGACTGGTTTTGTTGCCTTGTTTTTCCAGCAATGGTTGGTGCTTCCCCCTTTTTAAATATATATATATATATTTCTATAGATGACTCTGGCATGTATTATCTCTACAAGCCACAGTTCTGCTTCCCAAGAAGACTGTTTTGCATCGCTCTAGATTTTTGCAAACTACAGCTAGCTGACTCTGCCTGTTCCCTCTTTAGCCTTTCACACTATTAGTCTATTTTTCCCCTCTAAACAGAAACTCCTGAATGATTCAAGGCTCCTTGAAGTATTTGTGTTAAATGGATTAACACCTGACAAGTATTTATAACACTGGGATCTGTGTCAGGCCATCCAGGGCTCTTACACAGCAACATCTAGAGCAGTTCAAAAGCACAGAACTCTCAACTTCCTCATGCTTGCTTTGTTTTTTCACGTGTCAATTTAGATGTGGAATTGTTATGTGACTTACTCAAGAGTAGGCAGAGATCAGGAGTGCTGAGTATGAGTGCTATGCTCTGGTTATCAAGCTTTTAATACAAAGAAGATAGAAAACATTGTGCAGTGATTCAGGCAGACGCAGTATCTTAGCTTTTGTGCTGGATCTGGTCCTTTTATCATATATGTGATACATTCCACAGAGTTATCAGAAATAAGCATTTATTTCTCTATCAAAACAATGTTAAATAAAAATTTCATAGATTACCGTACAAGCATGAATTTTCTTAAGCAGATGACTGTTACTGAAGCTCATAATGCCAACTGATTCTTATGGATTAGAAAAATCTCAGTCAAAGTAATTTAAAAAGAAAAGAAAAATAAAAAGTGAACATAGAGTGGCAGTGATCAGCTGTTTGAAGTGCTGCTGTGGTTATTGACTGCTGGGTTAGACACTTGGCTTTTCACAAACAGCCAAAAGAAAGTTACAGTCCCCATCACTTCATCTTTTCTGAGAGGATTAACTCTGGGGAACATCACCAGGGACGCTGTAGGCACTGAGAACCTGGCCACAGAGAGCTGATTTCCTGATGTGCTTTCTGAGGAGATCCTCTCTCCCTGCTTACACCTGATATTTACAGGTTTTCTCCTACACTGGTGAGCATCACTGGTGACACACACATTTCCACACCCACTGCACTGTACCTAACAGGGCTCACCGATTCCTGTGTCAAGTACCAAAGTGATACAGACAGGTCTCGGTTCAGTTTCTGAGCAGCGTGGATTACAAATACACTTTGTAATTCCAAATGGGAAAAAATCCCTCCTCTTCCTCACTTCTTTTCAAACAAACTGTCCATAAAACAATCCCTACTTGCAGTCTGAGGCAAAAATCTTCGCTTTTTGCAGTGGAGAAAATTAAATGCAGCGTATTAGTAAATATTTCATTTTGCAAGTAATCAACTATGACAAAAATAAGAACTTCTGCCCTATACTGCTATCAAGAAAAACATTTTTAAGTTGCTTCCACATATTATCTGCACAAAGGCTTCTCCTCCATCTTTGGAGAGTCACTGATAACCAGAACTGTCAGGAGATGGGCAGTGTCCCAGTATGCTGACTGGAGCTGGTAGATATTCCCAATGGAATCGGAAGATCTGTGTTAACCACACACCCAGCCTTATGTAAATTATCTTCTGAAATTAAAACCTGTTGTATTGGCTCTAAAAAGAACTGAGAAAGACATTAAAAAAAATCATGGTAAAGGGCAAATCTGACATGGTATGTTTGCTAAGGACACAGCGAAGGGATCTCAGAGCACAAGTAGTCCCTAGGGAGATATTTACACCATTCTAACGATGGGAAACAACAAAGAAAGGAGCGTGAGCTCGGGGAGGATGGCACGCCAAGCAACACAGCATAAAAGCAATTTAGCAGAGAGGGGTTTTGTTAACTGGGATGGGGAGAGGGAAACCAAGTATAGACAATGCCATGGACAGGAGAAGCTGAGGATTGAGGGTGGGTTTGGCCTACAGGTGCCATGTCACTGGTGACAGACACGTTCCGGTGTCCAGCGTGCTGTCACATAACATGGCTGGGATGCATGACATGAGACTGGAGTCTTTATGCCTGGATTATGCTCATGCTTCTCAGAGGATATTCAAGGCAGCAGAGGGAACGTTAGGAGTCCAAAACAGTCACACATTCCACTTGCAATAGGTTTATTGTTTGTAACAAGGTCAAAGGCAGGCGAAGCCACCTCGTCAGGGCTTCACCAGCAACAGACCTGGCTGGTTCCTCCACGGAACTCTTCAGAGATCACCCCAAGAGCAGTGTTTG